GTTAATGCTTCCTGGGGTTGCATCTGTGCCCCTGCAGTTCTGTGATGATTCATCGTGAGCTGTGTGTTTTCCGTGTTGGTCTCCTTCCCCCACTTCCTCATGGGACAGTGGATTTTGAAGACTAAAAGGTGGACATTTCAGTTTGTCTCTGTATGTTTCATCTTGTTCAATGGTGTGCCTGTCCAGCCTTTTGAGGTCCACTGGATACTTATTCTTGATGTGTTTGCTGTTCTTCTCGACATTTTCTGAGTGGCTTTAACCCACCCAAGTGGCTTTCCCTCACCCAAGATTATTAACTCACTGCTTTCCCCTGGAGAGTCGTCAAGGGGGAAATGATAGCTTTGTTACTTGAAGACAGTCTTAGGAAGCATTCGCTTAATTTTTGGGGAGAACCCAAACAGTGCTCCCCTGTCCCAGTGCTCCCCTGAAGGGAAGTGCTCCTGTCTGCATTTGCCTTCCTTCATGCCTCCTTGTGGGAAACCTGGCCACATGGCTCCAGTCCCCCGCTACCGTCATGGCCACTGTTCCAGGGTCTCAGGGTGGCAGAGAGGTGTCAGCGAAAATAACTCCTTGGAGTTACTGGTCTTCCTTGGAATTGGGGTTTAAAATCTGGATTGGTTTCCTAGGGCAGTCGGAATAAATCACCACAAACTTGGCTTCTTAAAACAACAGAAATGTATTATCTTATGATTCTGGAGGCCAGAAGTCCTAAATCAAGATGTCTGCAGTGTTGGTTCCCTCTGGTGGCCCTAAGGGATAAAAACCGTCCCCTGCTCCCAGCTCTTGGTGGCCTCCAGCAGTCCTTGGCGTTCCTTGGCTCATAGATGCCGCACTCCAGGCTCTGCCTCCGTCTTTCTGTGGTGCTCTCTGTCCTCTCCTGTTTTTATAAGGACACCTGCCATTGGATTTGGGACCACCTTAAATCCAGGAGGATCTCATCTTAAGATGCTGCACTTAATGACGTCTGCAAAGACCCTTTTTCCAAGAAAGGTCACATTCACAGGGGCTGGGCTTAAGACTTGGACATAATTCTTTGGTGTCCACTGTCCATCCAGCTACAGAATCCAGATGGTGGCCATGGCTTGTGGTGAATCTAGACCCTGTTCAGATGTCTGTGACACAGCAGGATGCCAGGGACCCAGAGTGGGTTCTCACAGTGGGGTTCAAGGGTCTCCCAAAGCCCACTGCCAATTCTCTGAGCAGATCCAAAGTATCCAGAGGTGACTGAGAGGCCAAAGGAGTCTCTTTTCATCCAGCCCAGCAAGGAGTGTGACCTGGCTCTCAAAGTCTGTAAATGGGACTCACAGGAAGGGAGGTAGTAAGTTCACTTTAACCCACCCCAAACATGAAAATCAGCCGTTTCACCTGCTGGGGGTGGGCTTGCCTGGTTGGAACAGTAGGTATGTCCCAGTTTTTCCCAGGGATTACTTCTTGATCTCTGAAGAATTGTATGGAATCAGTAGATCCCTCATAAAGTGACTTTGTATTTAAAATCAAGACAGGCTTAGGTGCTTTTGTTTTACTTATGAGCCAAATATCTGTAAGAAATGTTATTACCACAAAGAAATTCTCAGTATGGAAACCTTCAGCCAATGTTTGGGTTTGTATGAGGTAGTTTATGTGATGGAATTCCAGTTCCGCCAAACAATTTGGGTAGTTCTGTGGGCATCTTTGGTAAAAACTGGGCTTCAAATTCTTATTTAACGTGGGATTTTATGACATTTTCAGAAGCATCTGTTACTTTTCATTGACGCAGTTTCTTGGGCTGAGCCATAATATTGACAGGACTCGTAGGAAATGTGTGAGCCAGGAATGGTACCCCTCGGACCCGTTGCCACCTGGCACCCCTCAGTGCACACAGCCAAACCCTGCTTGAAGGTTCACGTGTATCTGATTTTGGCATTTATTGACCAGTCATTTAGGTCATAGTAACTATGAGCGACCCTATGGTGACAGATGCCGTGTTTCAGTTTTGATGTGTCTCCTAATTCTGAAGAAGGAAAATAGTATAGGTGATGTTGGGGACACTAGTAATAAGCTGATGTGGTGTTGTCGTGGGGAATATTCTCAGGTGGGTGTGGATCTGGGGAAATCCACTCAGTGACCACCAAGTACCTTTGCTGACTGGTCCCTTTGGACAGTTTGGCTGACCAGGCTGTGGTAGACGGAACACTCCTGTTCCGGGGGGTGTTTTGATTCTAGGAACTCTGTGGGTAGATCTCAAACCACTCGCTCAAGACTTCCAAGAGGTGTCCTCTGTGGACATTGGCCGTGGATGAATTCTAGCGGGCTGTGTCAGGGGCACCCCATGTGCCAAGGTGGGCTACGGAGGTAGATAGCTTCTGGGCCTGTCCCTGAGAAATGCTGATCCCTGTATCATGACCTCAGTTAGAGGGGAGGGCGGTGGAGGAGGCACATTGGCAACAGACCCTGCTATAAGGGAGCACAGTTTTTGCAGGACAGTGTGTGGCTGAAGGTCTGGGTGTATTTGGAAGTATGGATGTTAGATACCCGGATGCATGGGTGCAGAAGGAGAGTCACAGGACAGACTCTCTTTCTTTCCTGTGATATGGGTGCAGATGCAGAGTCCCTCGAAAGAGGGGAAGCCAGGTTAGAGAAGCCGAAGGAATAGAAAGTATAGAGCTTCGAGGAGAGAGAAGCCTGACCCCGCAGAGCCATGTAGGCCACAGTTTTCATAAGCCCGGTTTCACCCTTGATCCAGAGATGCAGGTGACACAACGAAGGCTATGAGTGTGTGAAGGGTTCTGGGAAGAGCCATGGGGCTCATGATGAGGTGTGTGTGCAAGAAGAGAGTGGGACATATGGCAGGAAGGTTGAAAACAGACAAAAGGGGCTGCAAGGAGAGAGAGAGGAGAAAAAAGAATAGGAAATTCACACCCTGAAAGTTCTGTTGAAGATAAAAACACTTTTTTTTGTTCTGTTTTGTTTTGTTTGAGACAGGGTCTCACTCCCATTGCCCAGGCTGGAGTGCAATGGCACGATCACGGCTCACTGCAGCCTCAACTTCCTGGGCTCAGGTGATTCTCCCACCTCAGTCTCCAGAATAGCTGGGACTACAGGCACGCACCACCATGCCTGGCTAATTTTTTGTATTTTTAGTAGAGACAGGGTTTCACTATGTTGCCTGGGCTGGCCTTGAGCTCCTAGGTTCAAGTGATCCTCTCACCTCGGCCTCCTAAAGTGCTCGGATTACAGGCATGAGCCACTGTGCCTGGCCCTGACATTTATTAAAATGGCAATGCAGGCCTTCTTCAGGACCATGGTAGTAGGTATAGGGACTGCCATGACAGTTTTCCAGTAGAGGAGAGAGACTCCGAATACAACTAGGAAAAGTAGGGATTTTAAAGCCGAGGCAGGTGGATCAGTTGAGGTCAGGAGTTCAAGACCAGCCTGGCAAACATGGTGAAACCCCATCTCTATGAAAAATACAAAAAAATTAGCCAGGTTTGGTGGGTAGGCGCCTGTAGTCCCAACTACTTGGGAGGCTGAGGCAGGAGAATCGCTTGAACCTGGGAGGCGGAGGTTGCAGTGAGCCAAGATCACGCAGCTGCACTGCAGCCTGGGCGACACATTGAGACTCCATCTCAAAAAAAAAAAAGCCAGGAGCAGGGCGAGGGGGTTGGTGGCTGGAAAGTTACTAAGGGGAAACATCGAGGGGGAAGGGGTGGGGATTCCTGCTAAACCAACCCGATGGGATTCTTGCTGGAGACAGGCCAGGTGGCCAGGCACCTCCTGGAGGTGGTGGACCAGGAACCTGATTGGATAAGAAGGGTGATCAGTTATCAAGGGTGGGGGATTCTGGCTAAACCAGTGTAGCCGTGTCAACAAACAACATTTTGACAAATTTAGTTTAAAGATCTCCCTGGTGTTTATTAGCACGGTCCATAAACAGGGCAGCATCCCATTCCTGTAATACGAAGGTGCTCCTGTGGACCCAGCCAGGTTCTGGCTTTATAGGCAGAAATGGGCTGAAGAAGCAAAAACAGGGAACAGAGAGTGGATTGTTCATTTCAAAGTGACTCTCCTTCTAGGGTTAAAGCAAAGGGGACGTCTGACTGGTTGCTGTGAATCCCCTGGTTTTTGGAAACTGGCCCGTTCTGAGTTCAGTTCAATTATGTGGCACCTAGCACAGATGACTGTTCTGGCCTGTGCAGAAGCTCAGTCCAGAACAGTAGCCTCTCATAAAGTTTATTTAACAGCAGGATTCTTGGTAAAATAGGGTGATGCAGAGATGGATGTGGAGGTAGAAAAGTTGAGGTTTACTTGGGAGGAGGATACAGAGGAGCCTGAAGTGGGTCAAGGAAGACAACCAGTTCCTGTGCGGCAGCGATCTGCCATAGCGTGTGTGGTGTCTATGAACAGATCCATGTCCACAGGTAAACGTGTAAGTCTGCAGGTATTCACGTGCATATGTGGGGGTGCTTTTATATTGTGTTAAAAACGAGGTCCCTACCAACCTAGAAAGACACATTTCATCATTTTTTTTTTTTTCAATGTCAGGAATGTGTATGCAAAGGACTGGGAATTTCATGTGAAACTGTAATATTGCGAGAGCAACAGATGCTCTTATTTTTGCTCCCTTCAGCAGAGGAGAGAGGAATGAGAAGGTGTATAAAATTTTCATGGCTTCTCTTTGCTAGTGTACCATTTTTGTAATCTGGTGTTGTTTGAAGCTCCCTGTTACTGTGAAAACAGAGGCTGCCTGAGATGACTAGAACGAGCAACAACAGAAAAGCGGCCGGTGGCTTGTGTGGGCCAGTGTAGACATGTCTGGGTCTGGAAGAGCTTAGGTGACCACGAGAAGGGTGGGAGCTCCAAGGGACGAGGGAGGTGGCTCATCTGCAAGGGAAGGAAGAGGGGTGGTTGTGTTTCAATCAGGAAAACTGGATAATGTAATTGTACATTGATTTTCATTGTCACCCAAATGGTGTGATTGCACGTTCATGGGTGGTAAAAATATACATTTATTTTATTCACAGGTTGTACTCAGACTATCTCTACTTTGCAAGTTCGAATAAATCCGCAGACGACTTCCATGAGAAAGTGACAGAAGCTCTGCAGCTGTTTGAAAATTGCATGCTTGATTATTCACTGCGCGCCTGCGTCTACAACAACACCCTCAACAACGCCATGCCTGTGCGTATCCCCCCCCCCCCAGCTGGCCCCCGGCAGAAGGAGCTGCTTTGTTGTTATTATGCAAGTGGCATTGTGGGCTTGGGTTTTAGCATAGGAACAGAGAGAAGCGTTTTAATGTGCAAATGCTGTTCCCCATTATTCATGGATGTAAAAGCTGAAAACTGATGGGCTCTTAGGCTGGCTCCCTGCCTTCTTCCCTGCTGGTCACCTGCCACCTCCCCCTCCTCCCTCAGCAGGAGAATGAGGGTGCGTTTAGGAAGATTACCATTTAGCAAGACACCCGGCAATTAGAATCGGCAGACGCGAGGACACCCGACTCTCAAATTGTCTTAAGAGCATTCTCTCGAGCGGCGGATTGTTTTGTTGGTTTAAAAAAATTACCCACCAATGATTTTCAATGCTTCTTTGACAGAGTCTCAGTTGAAAAATATTTTCGGTTGATTCCTCAATCGTATCTCTTGTTCTTCTTTCAGAACTATGTCTGTAAATTTCTAGCCTTTTCGAATGCTGTTAATGGTGAATTCAGCACCTTTTAGCCCTGGGTTAGTTTTCCATGCTGGGCTCCCTGGGCTGGCTGTGTGCTTCAACAGCAGGGCTTATGCAGCAAGGCTAATGCCGCTGCCTGTTCCGGAGTGGCTTTACAATCCTTGCTCTGCTCAGCGTCTCGCATGGCAAGGCAGGAACAGGCCTGCTGTGGAGTCTCGGAAGGCCCCAGAGTGGTGGGACTTCAGGCCTAGAGGCTCTGTCCCCTCTTTCTTATTACAGAGGCCATCGGATCTGGGAGGCAGCATGCAGGGGCAGCGGGTGGGATTCCAGCCTGCCCTGTTGGACTTTGTAGTTTGGTAAGGAAGATGCCACAGGGACACAGGTACCCCAGAGTCTGCTCTGGTGCCAGGTGGGAGGAGTGCACTTTGGAATCAGCCATTGTTGTGGATCAGGTTTCTAGCTTGGCCATTTGCTGGCTGTGTGACTCTAGGCAGTTGTCTCAGCCTCTCTGAGACTCAGTTGCTTTGTCACACAATGGGGTAATAATACTGCTTTACCAGGCTGTTGTAAGGATTAGAGAGCGATGAGTCTGTCTTGCATTCCTGCATTCATTCTTGCCACTATGTCCCCTGCATGGTGCTGAGTCCTGGGGCCACAGCAGTGCCAGGACAGGTGTGGTCCTTGCCTTCCTGTGCAGCTGGCAGGGAGAGAAGATGGAGGCTGGGCAGGGAGCTCTGGCCACCAGAGAACCACCTGAGAACAGGGCATCAGGCAGGTTCTTAGGAGAGGGAATGTCTGTGCTGAGGCCCGAAGGAGAGTTGGCCAGGGAACTGAGAGCAGCGTGTGCAAAGGCCCAGTGGTCAGCACCACCTACCATGCAGAACACAGCCAGCCGCGTGGTGTGGGAGATGGGGGCACTGAGGGAGGGGGCTTGGGTGTGTGGCACGTGGGGCCGCACCCCCAGGACTTAGTGAGCCTCAGAAGAAGTCTAGACTTCACCCTGAGAGAGATGGGACCCCTCGGAGGGTTTTAAGCGGAGGATAGTGTAGGAGTGGAAAAGGAATATCTCACTACTATGTTCATGGCTGAGGCACCTGTAATAAAAGACTAAAGCAAGAAAGCACACATACTTGTTTAACGTAAGTTTCATGTAACCCGGGAGGGAGCCTTCATAAGGAAACGGAGACCCGGAGAAACGGGAAACCTGTGTGTGTTTGTGCTTGGGTTTGATGAAGAGAGCAGTCGGGCACAGGGCTATGATTGTCAAAGGGGGAATGACCCAGTGGCTCTGCGGCCACCGTCACAGGGGACACAGGGTCTTGGAGAAACTTTATTTGTGTGTGGCTTGGCCAGCACAGCTTGTCGACCCAGCTTCGTGACCCAGAACTGCTCTCACCTGTGATTCTTGGCCCTGGACCCCTATGGAGTGAGTCTGAGAGAACAGGCAGGGCAGCCCGCCTGGCTCTCAAGGTGGCTCCCTGAGGGCGATCTGAGGGCTGGGGCTGGCAGGAGGAAAGGGGCGCCAGCAGGAGGAAAGTGGCGCTGGGCGTGACGCCTCAAGGTGGGGTTGTGGTTTCTTCCAGCACGATCATGATGCTGAGCACAGAGGGGTGCCCAGCGTGTGCTGACAGACACAAATCAAGTTGCAGCTGTGACTCAGGCCAGGCCCATTTCGTGCCACATCTACACTTTCCTGCTGCAGGTGGCTCTTCCATCCTGCAGGCCCCACATGGAGGACCCTCAGTCCTGGCATAAACAGTAATCGCAGCAGCTAAGAGCCAGGGCTATCATGGGTCACATGCCGAGGTGGCACGCACATCGGGGAACATGCTCGCGGACTGCGTTTCCCCATCATCCCAGCATGCCTGATTCAATCCACCCACAAGTCCTTTTCCCTCTTTCTCCCAGTTATTTCTAGAGAGCTCCACTGTTCTCCCACCCTCTGCTACTGCCCTGATTCAGCCACTGGCCCTTTCATTGCAACCCCCACCTGCACAACTTCCCTCTCTCTGGGAGGCAGCCCCTCCCCAGACCCCTTCTCACCTTGATCTGTTGCACCAGGCATCTTTCTGAAATGCCAAACTGCCATCACTATTGATGGGGTTCAGGGCACACTGCCCCAAAATACAACAGCTTGGCATTTGAGAAAACGGCAGAAACAGGAAGGCCACCCTTGCCTCCCTGTCCCCTCCTCCCCGAAGCTGGCCGTAAAACGCTCAGAGCAGAGGTGCCCTCCCTGTACGTCCTCATCTCTGAAGATCTGGGGGCACAGAGGCGAATCTGAACAGACAGGCCTGGTTGTGTCTACCCCAGTGCATGACCACTAGATAATTCCCCCTTACAGGGGTTCGTGGCTCCGAGCTCACTTCTTTGGCTGGCACTCACCCTCTCACTTAATCAGCCAATATTTATAAATGCAAAGCAAAGAGAGGAAATTCCCCAGCATTATTAAATGATATAATTTGAAATCCTAAACAACTGTAATTACGAACAAAATTTGTGACATCGTCAGGAGACTGTCTCCAGGTGAATTTAAAGCACGGCTCGGGGGGATTCGCCTACTTTAGTGTGGGAAGTGAGGGTACACCTTTGTCCCTCGAGGGTCAGGTGGTGCAGGCCTCCGCCAGGAATGGATCTGGAGGGAAAAGTCCAAGGAAAATCCAAGAGGAACCAAATAGGAGTGTTGTCCTGTCTTTGATAGGGGCCTCGTTTAAGGGAAGGAAGAGCTTGGTGCACGGCCTTCAAGGCTTGTCTGAGGCCAGCACCCTGACTGAGGGAGGGATGAGAAGGAGGAAGGCATTGGTGGTTCCTGGCCCCATCCGGCCAGGTGACCCCGTTTGCCTGGCCCCCTTCTCTGCCCAAGTGCCTTCTGGTAGACAAGAGCCACCAGGTGGAGCCTGCCGAGGAGGCTATGTGTGCTCGTCAGAGTATGGATGGGAAGTGATGGATTCAGCTAGTGTAGACTCAGCATCAGCCTGGCACTAAACCTTAACACAGGCCCTTGCATGCCTGGGGCTTCCTACTGGGACAACTGAGGCTCAGGGAGGCAGCCTTCCTCTGGAGTCACAGCCAGTAAGCAGAGGATATAGGACCCAAAGCTAGGCCTTTTAACCCAGCTTCCCCGAGACGTGTGTTTGGCCTCAACATTTCCCCAACGGTCTGATCTTCAGTGGTTGCTACTCGGCACCCATGGCATGGCAGGCCCTGGTCCAAGAGAGAAGGTGCAGCACGGTGCTGTGACCAGTTGTGTGCTTGGAATGAGGCATGTGTCCGCCCCCACCTTGGCATGTCTACCACATTGTGCCTTTTGAAACTTTCTCCTGTTCATTATCCTGCGTGACTCTCATAACAAACCCGATGGGTGGGTGGGAAGACAGGAGTCAGTCAATGTCACTGTCAGCAGATGAGGGGAGCGAGGGGCAAAATATCCAGCTAATGTGCTCGCAGAAGGGGCCAGAGCCCTCCGCTGCAGGCCCTGGGACCACTGAGTTCTCTCTGCAGGAGACTGCCTGGAAAGGACTGGGAAAAGTGGGGCAGGTGTGGGCTTTGCTCTGGGGACTCCTAGGAGGAAGCGGCTTAAGCTGGGCTGGGTTTTGATGGGCAAGGAGAGGCAGGGCAGGGGGAACTCCTGACCCGAGGCACAGTTTATTTTAATAGCTTTAAATAGTGTTTCTTGCTGCAGAAGAGCGAATATTTAATATGCATGTGCAATCTGCATGCTACCGTGCACTTTGTACCACGTAGAGCGTGCTGACCCCCATCCAGTGCCCTGGGGCCAAGCACTTGGACACTTTCTCCCACACAGAAGGGAGGGTGTGCCCCTGCCCTCCTGCTCCAGGTCGACACTCTGACTGTGAACTTGAGAGCGTTGCTGAACCTGAACCATAAGTTCGTGGGCGCCATCGTGATCCTCCCCGTGTTGTGTATGCTTGAATCTTTCTGATAAAAGGTTTCTGAAACTCTATCTGTGAGAGGCGAAAGGGATCTAACCTTTATTCTTTACTGCCAGCCCCTGACCCAAGTCCTTTCAATGCATCGTCTCATTAGAGATCCCCTGAAATCCATCCCTGCTTCACAGATGGGAACACTGAGGCCCACAGAGGTGAATCCTCCCACCAATAGCTGTTATCAGGCAGGCTCAAGGGTCAGTCCTGGGTCTGCTGGCCTTTGACACTCAGGGAGTTTTTGCCTTCCCTAGCTGGCTCCTAAAAGCAAAGGGTTTTGCTGGCAGGAGGCCTGGGCTTTTATGTTCAATTTTGTGTTTTGCTGAGGATGACAAGACAGTAGCTTAGCGGGTGCCTTTGGTCAAAGGAGATCCTCAGGGGCAGGCTCAGTGGACAGGAGGGATGTGGCAGTACCAGATTGTCCCTTAATCTTCTCTTCAGTCCCTGGAGAGCTCACACGTCAGAGAAAGAGCCACGAAATCGGAAACGCTCCTCATAGAGGTGAATTTTCATTTCTGGGAGGAGAAGCCAGTTTCCCTCCAGCTGTGAATCCCAGCCCGGCCACAGCCCTGGGAGGGCAGCTTTGTGAGGCACCCCAGGCCCTGGCACACCCTGCTGGAGTCATTCACCACCTTCCTGTGGCACCCAGACGCAGGGGCAGCACAGACCCCTCTGCCTCTGGCCAGCCCCCGCCACTGTTCTGCAGCACACCCTACCCTGGGGGTGCTCAGAGGGGCCAGTGCGCCTGCCTCAGAGCAGGGTCCCGAGAAGCCTGGTGCCTGGATGAGCAGCAGCCACAGCCCCTGGGAACTTGTCAGAAATGCAAACGCTCTGCCAGCCCCAGACCTCCTGAATCAGCAACTCTGGGGACAGGGCCATGGTCTGTTTCTCAGGCCCTCCAGGCGGGTGTTTGTGGGCTCCGGTTGGAGAGCCACCAGGGCTCTTGTCACCACTCTCTCCTTCTTGCCCTCTGGGACTGGGGAGACCTACGCCAGGGCTTGCTTTACTCTGACGGTCTTCTCTTTCTACCCACTCCTTTTCTCCACTGCGTGCATCACAAGGTGATCGCTGAAGTCTGTTTCTTTACCAGTTGAGCTCTGTCTCCACGAGTTTGCAGCCTCCCTGAGGCCAGGGCCACTTCTGTTAGCAGCACATCACCATTGCCTAGCAGGGTGCCTGGCACATGGTGGCACGAGCTCAGCTTATTTGCCAAATGAATGAATGGGGATTAGTGGGGAGGCTGAGTGGGAACTCCCAACTGAAATCCCTAGCAGGGGACGGAGAGGCTCGGCCAGGTACCTGTCTGGGGAGAAGAGGGGACTGGGACTGTGCTCAGCTCAGCCTCGGATCTCAGTGGGGATTGCTCTTCCCTGGGGCCCTGCATGGGAGACAAGCTCCATGTGCACAGGTGACCTGGCTTCGGGTCCTGGCTTCAAGGGTATTGGCCACCGACCCTGGGTAGCCCCCTGCCCTGCCCTGCACCTTCATGTTTCTGTCGATGAATCGGCTGGCACAGTTAACTTCAAAGGCTTCTCACAGCTCTGATGTTTTCTAATTTTAAGCACATTGGGCACTTGCCCTAAATACCCTTTTTCTTTTTGTTCTACTTTGATTCTCTGTCCTATACTGGGAAAAGGTGAGGGAAAACAGTCTGCTGGGGGCTGTCTTTGTCCTGTCTTCATGGTGCATATGGTTGCAGTAGTGATGCTGCCTGCACCAGAAACTGTCACTTCAGGTGACCGCACTCCCCCTCCCTGGCACGGGGGCTGGGGGTTGGGGTGGGAATTGAGGGGACTTTGGGGTGGATGGATCAGAGGGAAGGCACAAAGCGGGAGGGGAGCTAGCCCCCGGAGAAGCAGCCAAATGCCTGGAGGCCTTCCCCGCGCGCAGCCCCTGCGGTTTCCTCTGTTCCTCCCCTTCCTGGCTCAGCGCCGCCTGCTGAGGAGGACCATGCTGCGGTGCAGGCCTGTGTCCACCTGAGACCGCTCAGGGGGCTTTCACGAGGATGGGCACAAACGAGGTTTCAGAGAGCTGTCGGGCAGGTGCCCAGCCAGATGCTCGGCAGGCCACAGCTGCTCTAAAACACCCCAGCTTGCCACAAACACCTGGCTGCTTTCCTTCTGGAAAGTTCTCCTGTTGAAAGGCACGTTCTCTGAAAAAGAAAAACCTCATCAGACTGGTCTCCCCTACGAGGGACGGCCTACAAGCCTGCCAGGGAGAGAACTGAAAAGCCCCGGGAGGCCGGTGACTTAACGGCGAGATGGTCTCGTCATGATTCGTCTGCGTTGGAGGCGACACGCATGTTTATTTCCGAGACTGGCACGTTCTCATTTTCTCTTTAGCTTCGGCCCAGCTTGAGGTCTTTTTTTTCTGAGCTGGCATGTGAGGTAGCAACAAAGTGTGGGTTGGAAACAGCTAATGAATTTTGAAGGCAACTTATCCACTCTAATTGCTTTTCTTCCTCCCCATCCTCCTCCATGGTTAGAAAAATAATGAAATGGGAAAAGAATAGTTAGCATGTGTACATATTTTGCCCAATCTTTCATTGTCTTATTGTTAACACTGTATTCAGCATTTGCACCCGAGAACCATGTTGAGGGCCAGAGTGCAGGCTTCGCAAGAATGGGATGGTGGAGAAGCCACAGTCCCTGCCCTCAAGGTCAAGGTCCAGGTCAAGTTGGGCAGGAAAGGAAATGTGACATGAGAGTGTCTGCCTAAAAAATGGGAACTCCAGAGAGGAGCCTGGGGAGCCGGGAAGTGCTGCATATATGAGAGGATGAGCTGGAAGTTTAAGCCAGGCCCAGAACTTTCTATACATAGAAAGCCATGGAAGCTTTAAGCAGGGCTGGCTGTGGCTAGCTCACTGCTTTGGAAAGCCCATGCTGGTGGCAGGGTGCAGATGGGAGTGCAGAGACCAGGGGAAGGAGGACCAGCCAGGAGGCTGTATCAGCTTCAGGCAGCTGTAGATGGGGCACAAACAAAGGGAGTGGTGTGAACTGGGGAGAGATGGGAGATGAGAAGTTCTGTGCAGACACAGATAGGCAGAGCAGGGTCCCTGGGCACTTGGAGAAGGGGCAAGGGGAGAAGTCCTGGAGAAGGGGGCCTCAGCGAAAGAGGAAGAGGCTGTTTTTTTTGGTTTTTTTGTTTTGTTTTGTTTTGTTTTTGTTTTTCCTGGAAGCTTTGCTAAGAGTTTAGGGTGAACTGTGGAGTTAGAGGAAACTGTTCCCAAGACTGCTGTCACTTCTGACACCAGTTGCAAGTTCAGGAGAGAGATTCCCCAACCCACCTTCAGGTTCTGTAATTTTCCAGAAGGATTCTCAGAACACACTAGAGGCTATTACGCTCTTGATTATGATTTATTACAGGGAAAGGATGAAGATTAAAATCAGCCAAGGGAGAGGAAGTGCAGGGGGCAGAGTCCAGGAGGGGCCCACATGCAGAGCTCTGGGTCCTTCTCTCCCTGTGGAGTCATGGATGGTGTTAGTGCCACTGGCCATGGTATGTGACAATCCTTGGGGAGTATTGCCAGGCCAAGCCTTGGGGGCCAGGCCTTTTACTGGGGCTCCATCACATGCAGCTCCTGTGGCTGACCTTTAGTCTCCACTCCTACTAGAGTCAGGACTGATACCATGTGGCCCAAGGCCCCATCGTAAAGCACAGTGTTAGCCTGCCTATGACCAAAACCCCCAGGCCAACCAGGACACTTCTGTCTGGTAGGATGTCCAGGGGCCTAGAGATCACCCCCCAGGAGCTGAGGGAAAGGCCAGAGTTCTCTTAGAATAGAGTGAAATCTTTACCACACAGCTTGCAGTAAGGCTTGAGAGAAGGAACAGAAGGGTGAAGACCCAGGAAATGGGTACTAGAAAGTAGAAAGGACTTAAATAGAAACATCCTCCTGTGGACTTGGTTCAGTGCTGATTAGATGCTGATTTACACACACCCTCACAGTCAAGGATGTTCCTCTGGCATCAGGCATTTGGCTCTTCACTCATCTAGGTTGTCTTTGGGGTGTCTGTGGTTGATTTTTCACAGCCCATTGTGTGCTGGGCATAGAGGTCACACTGGGAACAGAGAAATAGCCAGGATATTGTGCAAAGAACATGCGCACCATTGGTGGCCACAACCTTGACGTCTTCCCTGCACTTCAGTCCTTACCTGTGAAATGGAGGCATGCAGCTACCCACAGGGTATTGTGAGGATTAAATGCAACCCCTAATATAGGAATTCTTGCACATGTAGCACAAAACCCCCTGTAAAGAAGCAAGAACACCTTGTGTTAAAATCCAGCTTCTGAAAGTAACTTTGCTAGGATAACTCTTTTGTGGTATCCTAGTGAAATGCCATACCACTTTTGGAAAAGTGCCCTATGGTGTTGGGGCAACTGCTCCTGAAATAATGCCCTTCTTCTGTGGTCCTAGGTGAGGCTCCAGGTCGGGCTGTATGCTGTGTACCTTCTGGACTGGCTCAGTGTTTTTGACAAGCAACAGTTTCTCATTCTTCGCCTGGAAGATCATGCATCCAACGTCAAGTACACCATGCACAAGGTCTTCCAGTTTCTGAACCTAGGTATGAGTGTGGTGCTTAGACTGACGGGGCAAAGCATGAGCTCTGTGGACCTGTTCTGGGAGTCCTCTGGGGCAAATGCAGACCTGGTCAGCTGGGTAGGAATGGGCTGAGCTGGGAGACCTGGGGATGCCCTCCAGGAGGCCTGTTAAGTACCATTTATTGAGCACTAGCTGTACACAGGTCATTGTGCACAGTATGGTGAGGGATTCTCTGGAGAGGAGGAGATAGTTTCCCTTCTGGGAACTTATAGTCTAGTGAAGGCAGAGGAAGAGGCCATAGTTCACCTAACTGAATGACAGGTAGGGTGCCATGGGGAAGGTCAGCACTGTCATGTAAGGTACGTGCTGATGGTTTGGGATCCCAGCTACTGCAGGGATGAGGAAGCCTTCATGGAAGGAAAGGGCCTGAGAGCTGAGCTTTGTATGACCAACAGGATGTCACCGGGGAGCTGGAGCAGAGGACATGGGGCTTGGAGGAGGGAACAGACAGATCATTGCATCATCTCGGGTATTCTGGGAAATTCCTGGAGTCACAGCCGTGTGGCTGAGTTTTGGCTGCTGGTCATGGGTGCTGGGCCCCTGGGTCATGACCACCTGCCCTCAGCTTGTGGATACCAGCGCCCCCACGGGCCTGAGAGTCACTTTGTGGTGACAGGCCACACTGCTGACTGTGGTGATGGCTGGCAGAGGCATGTGCTGGCGGAGTGAGGGCTGCCCATGTGGACGGGGCACCCAGGGATGGCTTGAAAGGCTGAACAGGCTCGGAACAAGCTGCCCTCCTTCCCAGAACACCTCCTGCAGCCCTGACTGATGGTCTTGCCCCGGGAACTTGGTTAATTGAGTGTTTCTGGAAATATATCTGCCTGCCACTGGGACTTGGGCCTCTTTGATCGTTTGTTTTTGTTTCTTCTTTTTTTGGAGAGCTGGTAACGTGATGGAGTTGGATGAGTTCTTTCCCTTCCAAGGCTTAGACTCATCTTTCTTTGATTTGACACATGTTGACTCTGTCCCATTAATGAGCTTGTCTTTTGTCCCCAAGATGGATAGTAAGGCCAATTCTGTGTCTCATATGGCCCCAGGATGCTGGGATGTGCTTTTTCTGTATATGGGCTAAGGACTTTGGCCAGATCCCAAGAGCCTTGGGTAAAGAGGCTTGAGCAGTGATGGGTTACGCTAAGAAGCTGTGGCGCAGAGGGCTGGGCGTGAGGGTGACTGACAACCTCTGCCGACCTGTTTCAGGGCCTCTCCTCACTCCAGAGGGCGGGGCGTGGGGGTGACTGACAGCACCTGCCAGCCTGTTCCAGGGCCTCTCCTCACTCCAGAGGGCGGGGCGTGGGGGTGACTGACAACCTCTGCCGGCCTGATCTAGTGTCTCGCCTCACCCCAGAGGGCGGGGCGTGGAGGTGACTGACAGCCCCTGCCGGCCTGTTCCAGGGCCTCTCCTCACTCCAGAGGGCGGGGCGTGGGGGTGACTGACAACCTCTGCTGGCCTGATCTAGTGCTTCTCCTCACTCCAGAGGGCGGGGCGTGGGGGCGACTGACAGCCCCTGCCGGCAGACCTCTCCTCACTGATCTCCTTGCTGCAGATGGAGGTTCACCCCGTGGGGGCTCTGGGCACAGGTGGCCTCCTCCCCACCCTCCAACCGATGGCCACTTCACAGCAAGACGCACAGGGTGAAACTGCAGGCCCAGGGCCCTTGGCATGAGCAGCCTGAAATAGAAACGATGATGGCGGAATTCCAGAGGGCTGCTGAGCAGGAAAACTGAAGCCCATGGGCTGTGCCCGGCAGGCCGCACGTTCCTCCAAGGATGGGTTGACACCCATGGAGAGCAGCCCACCAAGGGCAATTGGAAGGGAATCCTTGAGGTCAGCCTCAGACGCTGTATCATCATTAAATGCCAGCTGGGCTCCCCCGTGGGTGGGCATCCTACACCCGCCACAGAATTTCTTTGCAATTTCCTAATGGTATTTCCACTTTCCTCAGTGCTTCCAAAATGGATCCAGCCAAAGAATTTTAATCCCCAAATACATTCTTCTTAAAGGAATATCCTGTCTGAATACGAAGCATAGCTGGGATTTTTGCAAAGTCCCTTTTACTTCCTGCCATGCCTCCTGCCTTACGGGACTCCTCTTCTTTCATTCTAGGGCCCTTAAGTGAGAAGCAGGAGGCTTTGATGACCAAGAGCCCCGCCTCCAATGCACGGCGTCCCGAGGACCGGAACCTGGGGCCCATGTGGCCCATCACACAGAAGATTCTGCGGGATTTCTACAGGCCTTTCAACGCTAGACTGGCGCAGGTCCTCGCTGATGAGGCGTTTGCGTGGAAGACGACGTGAGAGCTGAACTGTTGCTGCACGTGCTGGGCCCGCCAATGCCGTCATCACCAGGATTTTACAAATCTCTTTGCAGGGAACTGTTTGACTCATGGTATGGAAAACCCCAGGACTCCGCCACTCCAGGCACACATGAAGTATAACCATTTTGGAATTTCTTTTGTGATGTTCAAGAGCTCAGCAATGGACCCCTCACAGAGCTCCTCGTCTGAGGCCAGTGAAGACCCCATTTCTCAAGAATTCAGCTCTGCTCCGAGCGTCCTGGAGCTTGGGGATGCAGCCAGCTGACCCTGCACTGGGTGTGGAGAGAACACCTAGGGAAGGCAGCCCAGCGCTGCCCGCCTCCGCCTTCTGGCGAGCCTCAGTCTGGGTTCTGAGTCAGCACGCCAGAGGTCATGCCACAGGGCTGGCTGGAACTTACACTTCACGTTCCCTTTTTTCCCCCTAGAGATGGGGTCTCGCTGTGTTGCGCAGACTGTCTATATTCAATGGCTATCTTCACAGGTGTGATCATATCACATTCACTTCTGAAACGCTTGTTGGGATCGCTAAGCTCACTGGAACAGAGAACCGCAGTCTTTCGAGAATGGAGGCTCTTCATTTTTTTTTCTCCTTTACTCCAAAGTCAGCCCTCTAGTTTCTTCAGATGTAAACCCTGTTAACGTCACTGTTTCCAAAAGGAAAAAAATCAGTCAGCTTTTGGCAGCACCTTCATCTCTCTGACCTCCTCCTATTCTGTCCTTGTGGACTTTACTTATGTTTAACCTAGAAAATGAATACATTGAAAACAAAACCACTTTCTGCATTTAACCAGTCCTGGCTCTCTCTCTCTGCTGCCTCTTTATATGTCAAGAAATTCAGTTTATAATTGGAAGGGAAATTTTTGCTGTTAATGCCAGAATGAGCAACCTGAAGGAATTGAACACTTCATGGAAAATGTAGGTAATTCAAGCCCTCATCAGGTTTACAAGATCATCAGAGAAACAGAGGATTTTAATTTTTAGTTCTGGCCGGCTACAGGCTCCATTTCTCCGCCTTCCCATTGGAAAACGTTTATTTCCACATTCTCCACTACGTGTGGTCAAAGTTCCTCGCCCAGCAAGGGACTATAGATACCCCTGTCCCAATTCCGAAACACAATGCATAAGCTGAACTTGGGCTGAACGTGGCGTGTTGAGATTTGGGATGAGGTTTCTAAGAGTCGTGTTCTTCATGGAATTTTCCAGGCTACTTGGCAGCTTGGTTTACCGATGGATGGGCAAGAGATCTTGTCATTTCTTGGCAGTCACGGGCAAGATTGAAGAGAAGACCTGAGCATCCTTGGCAACAGCCCAGGTGGGACCTGGATGAAGCTTTGCACTCAAGTGTTGTCAAGGGAAGCTTCCTGTGAACCAAAGTTCTCAGGCCAAGGTCTCGTCCACCAAAGCCAGAAAGTGCAAGCACCCGTCTACCCAGCTCTAACTTGCATGTGTGAGACAGACCGGGCTTTAGGGGTAGGAGGATCTGCAGTCGCTCAGCCGTCCCCTGGTGCTGTTGTCTTTCTGCCATCAGGGAAGGGACACACAGCCCATTTGAAGGTGTGCAGAGGGCTCTGAGCGCCAAGATGGCCGGGAGCTGTTCCTGCTACTGAAGGAGCTGTGTGTCCCGAACTCCCACTTGCAGGGACAGTCCCCACCTTCTCTATAGCCGGCACTGGGAGCAGCCGCCAGCAGGGATATCTGGTCTGAGCACAAGGATGCTTTAGGGAGAGATCCCTTCAGTGTGTGTGTGTATTTATTTGCAGTACAGTGTGTGTGTGTGTGTGTGTGTACTCGCACGTGTGGGTGAGTGCGTCTTCTGAGTGAGTTCTGTTCAGTTCCAGTTGCTAATGAGGCTCCTCCGCTCTGGACACAACCCTTTTATAGATTAATTTCTCTGCCAATTAACTTGTCATTTTCAGTACATATTTTACTATTCCACACCAACCATAATTATAACAAGGGATTTTTCTTATGCACTCCTATGCATGTGAATAACATGTGGTGTAATTCTGCTTCTTACAGAAGTATTACTGAAGGTATTATTTCCAATATTATTTGGTTTATTATGCGGATCTTTTTTATATATGCAGTCCCATCCCTTCTGTGCCAATCAATGCCATCCAGACATGGTTTTTCCCTCCAGGGGCCTTTCTCCAGAGGGCACTTCTGCTGCCTCTGCTTCCTCTCGTTCGAGGCCCGGCTCTTGCTGACAGGATAGGTTCCGTTCTGGGCGGTGGTTCTCGAGCCTGCCATTCAAAACCAAAGTGAATTAGAGCATTTCTCATAACATGGTATTGAAGTTCCTTTTTGTTCTCAAAAGCTGTGTACCAGACTGTGTTAAATTGTACTCCCTTAGTCCTGTAAAGTATGTTCAGTAAATCGCAGTTACACTGTACTTTTATTAATATTTAACATAATTAAAGATGGACCCATGTGAGTGACGCCTGTGGAGCGGGTGCTTTTCCTCTGCAGCCAGGCTCTTCCTGGGGCGTGAATGAATCACAGTGGTTTAGTGTCGGACCTGCTCGACTTGTGCAGGCTCTGTGTAAAGGGGAGTTACAGCTGTGCTGGCTGCTGAGAGATGAGGTGTGATCGTGCTAGCAACAGGCAGAAGAAAACTCAAGACCAGAGAGAGAAGGATTCAGATGTTAGCAGGGACTCCCCGTGTGAGTCCTGCTGGGGTGTGAGTCAGGGTGGGAGGTCCGGCCCAGCCCACAGTCAGGCCTAGCACTGTCTTCAGACCTTCCAATTTGAAGGTTGGGTGACCACAGGCCTCATTCCGGTGGCCTGCCTGGTCCCCGGCAGCTGTGAGTTTGAGACCCCTGGTGTCTGTGGCACGTGTCCTTATCGCTGAGGAGGTGGTGTGCACTCAGCTGGGGCAGCCAGGAAGAAAAGATCACAAACAACAGAAACTGTTTTTCTCAGTCCGGAGACCAAAGGCCTGAGATCAAGGTGCTGCCGGGCTCGTTTCTCTGGGGGTCTCTCTCCTTGGCTTGCTGATGGCTGATGCTCTCTGTGTGTTCGTGTGGCCGCACACACACGGCCCTGCTGCCTCTTCCTCTCCTTGTAAGGACACCAGTCGGAGGGGATGAAGGCGCGCTCTGACAGCCTCATCTTAACCTCATCACCTCTTTAAAAAACTTTGTCTGCAAATGCAGTCACATTCTGAGGTACTCGAGATTGGGACTTCAACATATGAATTTGGGGCACACTTTTCAGCCCATACAGAGGGGACATCTCAGGCTTAGGGCTCTGGAAGCTGGGCCATCCTGAGCACAGCGTGGACCCTGGTGGGTCCCCCAGTTCTGGGCAGACCTTCCTGGGGGACCCTTTCTCCCCAGCACCGCCTCCCACGGTGGTGTGTTGAGGTTGGGGACTGGTGTGTCCAGGCTGGAAATAGGGAAGACCCCATCTTTTCCTGCCAGCGTCAGGAATGGCTTTACCCAGCAGGGAATGGAGGACAGGTGGGAGTCAGGAGCAGAACAGCTGGGGTGCATCTTTGAGGGCTGAGGGCACGACTTCCCTCCCTTTCAGATTTCCTCTGAAAGCCTCTCCCATGAGGCCACCCACTCCCCACCGAGAAACCAGCCCTCGGGAAGGATCCTGATGAGCACGCCTCTTCCCCACAGTGACCCTATTTGGGAACTGAAGCAAAGGCTGTGCTCAAGGTGGAGGAACTCCAAGGATCCCTGAGTGTGGAGACAGGGATTGTGTGGGTGGCTATTTTCCTGTTACTCCAGAAATCTCACCCTCCAGACAGCTGTGCTGCCTATGGTGCGGTGGATCCCAGGGGGACTGATCGGAAACCATCACTGATAAATCGGGTTTTCCCAGCACTTCACCGGGCAGGGTTCTCTGCGGAGCAGCAGAGACAGAGCAGGTCCCGTGGGGCAGACGCTGCATTAGCTGGAGCAGCCTGGGAGCTTCGTGAGTTTGTGTTGCTATAAAGGAGTACCTGAGGCTGGAAATTTATAAAGGAAAAAAGGCTTGTTTGGCTCACAATTCTGCTGGCTAAGGATTAAGCATCAGGTGAAAGCCTCAGGCTGCTTCACTCCTGGCGGAAGGTGAGGAGGGCTGGCTGCACAGAGGTCACAGAGGGGAGGGCAGGGCCGGGGGAGGGAGGTGCCAGGCTCTTTTTAACAACCTGCTTTTGTGGGAACAAATAGAGCAAGAACTCACTACCCCTAGAACAGCACCAAGCTATTCCTGAGAGCTCTGCCCCCATGACCCAAACAATGAGGATCAGATTTCAACATGAGGTTTGGGGTACACACATCCAAACTGCAGCAGCTACTATAAATCACCCCAAACTTAGTGGCTCAAAGCAACAGAAGTTTATGATCTCACAGTGCTGGAGGCCGGCAGTCTGAAGTCGGTCTCACTGGGCTAACGTGAAGTAATGAGCAGGACTGGTTCTCTCCAGGGGCTCAAAGGGAGTCTGTTTTCCTACCTTTTCCAGCTTCGAGAGGCCGCCTGCACTCATGGCTCCTGGTTCTTTCCTCCATTGTCAAAAGCATGGCATCTTCAAGTCTAACTCCCTCTGCTTCCGAGATCACATGGCCTTCTCTGACCCTCGTGTTCCCGGTGTTGTAAGGACCCTCATGATGACACTGGGCCCACCAGATCATCTGAGATTATCTCCCCATCTCCAGATCACATCTGCAAAGCCTCTTTTGCCATAGAAGGGAGCATATTTGTAGTCTCTAGGGATTATGACGTGGACATCTTCAAAGGCCGTTATTCAGCCAACCACAGGAGGGTGGTGTGGAGAGCTGGCCAGTCGGGCAAGCATGGGATGGAGGGGGTACCCCCTGGCCGCTTCCCCATGCTCTATTGTACAGCCCAAGCAGGTCTGAGGAGGGGGCTGCCCTCAGCAGAAGGCCGAGCTTCTGGATGCATCATTCCGGGACAGTGCATCTTCCTGTCCAGGCAAGGCCCTATGACTGGGGTAGTGGAGTAGGTGGACAGGGCGATGTGAGGGGTCAGGCCGCAGACCCACCTCCTCCCGAATTCACATCACAGTGTTTTTCCCACAGAAGGTCACCTGGTTTCCAAGGCTCAGCCTTGTCCCCCACAATGGAGACAGGACAATTTCTCCAGCTCTTGGTAGAAGTAATTTTTGAGTGCTTACTAGTTATTTACCTTTTTGCTTTTTAAAAAATGTCTGTGAAGTTACTTTGTGAGTTTTCCAGGATGCGTGTAAACTACACACATCAGCCACCTGGGTAGTTTTGAGTTGCTGAAGTTCAGCTGTTGTTGACTTCAAAGGCAGCAGCTGATGAAAGTTGCAGAAATAGAACATTTTCCAGTCCCTGTTCAGGGGTTGGTGACCTCCGTGGCCCCCAGCCTCATGGCTTTGGGCTTGGGAAGGCTGGTGTCCAGTCTCACTGATGGCTACAGACTGGACTCACCCCCACCATCTCTCTCCTCACCAACCCTGTCCCCAGCCCCGTGGCTCATCCCCAGTATCCTCTGCAAACCTGCTCCTACTCAGGTCCGGGGCAGCAGGCTGAGCACTGTGGGCCGTCCTGGGAGCCTGAGGCTGCACAGGTTGCTAACCTTGGATTGTAAGGCTGGGTACGAAGGCAGAAGGTGGGGATTCTCAGGCAACGCAGCAGGCCCGTGAGAGAGGCTGGGGAAGAGCACCAGGGCTCTCTCAGTTGCCACCTGCAAGTGGCTGCGTCCTCCTGCCATGGGGCACCCAGGACCCAGCTCAGGCTTGCACCTGGGTTCTTCATTGTTGAACCTGTGGCAAAGCAAGGAGGAGACTTGGTCTCCTCCCTGCTGGGCAGCCTCTGCTGACTGCCCTATAGGTGCTGGGCACCGTGTCTGGGGCACAGAGACTGTGAAAGGCCTCCTCTCCCATGGTGGAGAGCCGCCAGCAGCATGAGGCGGCCGGGTTCCTGCAGGGTCCTTGGCAGGCCTGAGGGCCAATGGGGATCCTGAGGGCTTTTTGGGGTGTACCATCAGCTCTGCATGCTTTGAAAGGCCCCTTTAAAGTCAGGTCCTGGTCAGATCTAGAAGTGGGCAAGTCTCAGCTGAGGCTGAAACCTCAGCCTCCCTGAGCCTTGTGACTTGCCCAGGGTCGGAGGCCCAACGCTCCCTGAGGAATATTCTTCCTGGCAGGGCAGAGAAAGGCGGGGACCAGGGAATCGGGGTGGGGAAATCCCAGCTGCCTCTCCTTGCACCCTAGTCCATCTCCCCCAGGTCATAAGCCATCCCCTTTCGACTGTTTTTCCACCATAAGGGACTGTGATTTGTATCCACCAAACTCTGCCCCCGATAGGGACAGTGTGGGAAGAGGGTAAACCCTGAGTTTGGAGCCAGATGAGCTGGATTCAAAGCCCAATTCCGCAGCAGAGGGCCTGGGATAGCCATCTCATAACCTTCGGTACACCACAGGCCCTTTCTGCACCCACAGGTCTGTCTTGCTCATGAGTGGGTCTCAGAGTTAACAAATATGGACTGAGGATCAGAGAGGCTGCACGCCTGCCTGAGGTCACACAGCTCAGATCCCCAGAAAGAGCAGAATGGCAGCTCAGACATTCTGAGTCAGTGCTTTTAACCATAGTGCTGCATTGTACACCCTTAGCACCAGCCCCAGGCTCCCATCCTCAGCAGCCTGTCTGCATTTCGAGGGTCAGTTCTCCTTCCCCTCCATTTCAAATGCCCCCCTTTCAAGTTCCCTCAGGGAAGGCCAGTGGTTTCTGAGGTCACCTGGGCCAGGGGTTTGTGCAACTTAACTCATCAAGGGTCTAGGTGATGACTGGGATTTCTAGGGGGAAACAAGGGAAATAAACGTGACTTTTTCTGCCAAAAGGCTCTCTCAGCCGAAACTTGCTGGCATGGATATTCCCCCTGCCCTGGGCTGGCTGGCGTGAGTTATCTGCGCCTCCCTGAAGGCAGACTTCAGGGGCTGGCTGTGATGGGCTAGCTACAGAGAGGAATCCTGTGAGCCCTGAGTCACATCAGAAGCAGATTGCTCCACCCCAGGGCTCAGCCCTGCCCAGGGCGTCAAAGGCACCAAACATACACACCTGAGCTAGAAAGCATAAAAAAGCCAAAATTTAATTTTCTCAGCAAATATTTTCTGAACATCTACTATGCACGAGTCATTGGGCTGGGCACTGTGGTGAGGGTGGGGCATAGTTCATTTGCTCATTCATTGATTCCTTCACTGGTTCTTCCAACAAATATTGAGGGAGCACCAGCCATGTCCTTGGTATTAGAGGCACCTGGGAGAGCAGAGCTGGTCCCTGCCTGCTTGCAGTGCAGCAGACAGATATTGATCAGAAACAGACAAGACATTGATCACAGCATTGCCTAAAGCATTTCAGAACTGCAACAGCCATGAGGGGCAATACTGGGGACAGTGACCTATTTCTGGTGAGATACCCTCACCCCTCCCCAGCTACTCCACTCTCTCTGACTTCCCCATCTGCCTCAGAGACGAAGCCCCAGGAGGAGGCTGGGCTGGA